TCAAATAAGTTATTTCTAAATAAATTTTACAAAATCGTATCTTAATTGTATAAGTCATCACTCCACGGATCCTGCAATTATTTTTTTTCATCAAAAAGTACCTCGTGCCAACAACAGCTAATCTTTTACTGTAATCAAAATGTATTTTGAACCATCTGCTAATGATAAATTTAAAAATCAGCAATTTAAAAATATACCAAAAACGAGCAAGAATAAATTCCTACCTGTATCTAAATAAATTTATACCAAGCATAATTTACTCCTTTTCGTCAAAGAAAACTGCAGGGAAAGAAAATGTGCAGGAATATGTTGAAGATAGAATCAAACAAATTCGTGACTCATAATTGAAACTGGATTAATGTTTTCAGCTGACGACCCCACCTATTTGGTTTTATCTTCATTTAGTTTTATGTTGACTTTCTCTTCTTCTCTATGTGTCCTCTTGATAGTAATATAGATAATATATAATTATAATGCTTTCTGCCAATAACGTTATACGAAAAATTTTCACTATTACAACATATTACGTACAAAATATATTGTGTTGATAATTTAAAAAAAATATCATTAATAATAACGGTTTTACTTTATTATTATTATATTGCCGTTTATTATTTTTATTTATTGTATGGTATGAATGAGCTACTCTATATCACTATTACTATCGTCCTTGATTGTGACGGATTGTAATATCTCAATAAAGAAGTTAGAAAAATAAAATGATAATAACGGTTGGTATTACCAGAAAAGTTTTATTGTATATTAATTCAGAATGCCGGCTAAAATAAATTCATTTTTTTTTCAGATATTTTACTTAAATTGAAAGATTTCAAGATTTTTTGCTTTTTTCGACCACTGTGCTCCGTGTTAGAGAGGTGAAAAAGAAAAAAATATTGTCGAAAACCAAATGATAACAAGTTTTATTGAAGATATGGATTAAAATATCTTTAACTAAAAATCGGACCTGCATACTATAAGCGAGGGAAATGTTCAGCATTTCATCCTCTCCATAAGCGATTATTTATAATTTATATTTCATATTATTAATCTCTACTTGTTGGTGCTTTTACTTTTATCATGTGGTCTAAAGCACGCACTTTTATTTTTTTACTAATCCATAACTTTTAAAGTTGTGGATGGAATTTGTGATAATTTTATTTGGGGCCACCTAGATACCAACTCCGACAATCACTGAAAATGTGATCAAAGTTGGATTAAAGATAGTGGATGGTATTCCCTATCACATGTATTTGACTACAGGCAGACGTGGACCTAAATTTGTTCTTTAATGTCTTATGAATACGATATACCATAATTTGTAATGGTATGGAGAGGGGTGGCTATGATTATAATTTGAGGAGTTAGTCGGTGACCTTAACTTTATCAACTACTCAAAATAAAATAATTTTCATTATCATACATAAACCTCAGAAGTACCTAACAATCAGTCCACCTTATGATGTCCTAAAAATATCAGATATTTACTCTGTTAAAAAATTATTTTAATAAAATCGATGTCATATTTTACCCTTAAATTTTTTTTTTAGCTTATTTATTGAAAATAATACATTCTGTCTCAAGGACATTCATAATGGTGTTCAAAGATCACATTCACACTCTATGTACAATAAATAAAATAAATTAAACAGAAATATAATATATATACAATAAATAAGAATAAAATAACCTAAAAATAAATGAATAAAATGAACACATACATACTTACATAAAATAGCTGACTAATATGCAATGATCATTTAAACGAACATTTATTCCATATTTTACCACAATTTTCAGTACATAATTCAATTCGACCTAATGTTTTACCCCAAATTCATAAAAAAAAAAAAAAAGTTTTTTTCTGCGATTTGTTCTTTGAATGCATCCAATGAATTAATAAAAAAATATATCTAGCCTTTTCTTCAGTCAATTTGCAAAAAATTAAGTTGTTTGCTTTATACCATACGATAGAAGTGAAAACATCAACAACGCGAGCTTGATAATATAAAATATAAATTTTAAAATAATAGCTTATTATAAAGAGGATGAAATGCTAATCATTACACCCGCATACAGAATGCCGGTCCGATTTTTAGTTTCTGGATTATTTTAATCCATATTTTTCATGAAACTCGTTATTATTTGATTGTCTATACTACTTTTAAACTTTTAAAATTTTCGCCTCTCTAACACGGTGTCGCTTTTAAGTACAATTTTGAATAACAGCTCATTACTACGAGGATGAAATGATGAACATTGTCCTTGCCAACAACTTGCGAATTTTAGTTTCTAAGATATTTTAATTAATTTGCAAAAACACTCCAATTAGTTGACTCCAGCTGACTTCACCCGAGTGTTACACGTAGTAGATCTGACGGATCAATATAATTAATTTTTCATTTAAAAAAATAATCGTAGTCTAGCGTAAGTGACGTTCGGTTATTAATGATTGATTCTACTGTTGATGATGGTGATGTTTATATTTAAGATTGTAAAATGAAAGGTATAGTTGAAACGTATAATGACCAACTGCTTTCCTATACAGTTGAAATGCTTTTGAAGTCAATCACGGGAATTTTAAGACAGATAGACATAGACCCAATTTTTGTCTTATTTTCGAATAAGGATAATATTTTATTTATATAATATCTTTTAGTTATAATTTTTAGAACATGGTACCATAAAGTACAAAACTAACGATACACTATAACTTTAACTATATTTTTTTATATTATAATAGATAATATTATGTGATAAATTATTTTACTTGTATTGACTTACTTTACTATCAACTTACGTATCTAGTTTGTATTTAAACGTACCGGTTGCTTCAAGAACTGTGTAGGTGTCATTGCAAGGTGTAACGTGGTCAGGTTCAAAATCCGAACTGCATATTTTTTGCTGGATAAAATTAGGGATAATAGCTGCATAGATCCCAATAGCGAAACAGTAAACAAACACATAACTAATTAAGCATATAAGTTGAACGGTCGGATGGTTTTTCCATTTTACAAAGTTCGGAATCCGTGTTTTCATGTTTATTGTATGGATTACCATGCTCCTCTGCAGCAAGCCTCCGTGGAACCAAAATGGTGAAGGTGCTGCACCATTAGTTTTAGTTGTACTGACGTGGCCATACAGAGCGCTCCTAATATTCTCACGATCATCCCCTCTTCAATATCTTTGTTGTCATCTGTGGTTTCTCTTTGACATTTGTGCCAGTATCCATTAAACATATTTTATTGCTATGAATGACATATTTTAAAGGAACTCCTTATCTCCTTATCTCTGTATCTCCTTAAAGAGGTAGATTGTAAGAGAATTTAAGATCTACGTATTTTTAAAAATTGGTGCTGTTTTTAGGTGCTTACCACATCCCAAATGGAACTCAAGACTTTTTCGGATGTTGTTGACAGGCATTGATGAGACATCAATTTACCAAGAGATGTAAGACAAGCATCCAACAACAACACGAAGTTTGAAAATATGTAGATATCAATTTTCTTAACAACCTAACATAATGTTAAAGTAAATTCCAATAGTGTTGATAGAATTTCCCGATTTTCCTAGTCTTTATTTTAATTACAATATTTTTTTTACTTTCACTTACTTATACGTGTAATATATAGTAAGGGAAAGTATTGGTATCGTGAAAATTTTCGAATCTGAGTTTTCAACGGAAATACATGTTTTAAGATCCCCTGAGTTCAAATAACAGTACCGCAAAATGGTCTGTGCATGTGAACAATCTAGCTCAAAAACGAAAAGTCTTAAGAAGCTGATATTACGTATCAGATTTTAAAATAGGTATATGACTCAGATGTTAAAAACTCATGACTCAAAAACCGCTCTAACTATTTTGATTAAACTCGGTTTAGCATCGTATAATGAAGCGATGTTTAATATTATTTACGTCTTATCCCCGTTGATGTAACTTAACAGGATTTAATGTTATTTAACCACTTATTGAGCGAACGACTTGACCTATGTTTAAGTTAAATGGTTCAAATGACAGCAATAGTTCGCAAATGTGTTGAGAACATTTGTATTCTCTTAATATCATATTGCATGTACGATCTGAATCATGTGTTTTAAATAAGTAAATTGTCAATACTTAAAAAAAAAAAATTCATGGACATGATTATACCTATAAATACATATATTGTAGTATTACAACTCTTGATTAGATAACATATTAAAATAATTAGGTATCTATCGGCCGCTTATTCCAAAAAAAAAATCAAAGTTCACCTTTTAGACAATTAAATTAGTGAATAATTTCATTATCTTTTCCTTTCCAAAATCTATTCATTATTCACTTACAATTAGTGTTAAAACTTTTGACCTATCCATGGCAGGCAATGAAAATCTCGCTATATCATTTTAGTAAACTTTACAATGGAAAATAATAGTTTAATGACTAAGTCTTACAATCGATAATCATTTATAGGTTCAATATTCAGATATACTTTCAACTCGCTCAAGGCATATATGATCCTTTCAAGTTGACAGAATGATTAACTCCAATTTCAACATTCTTTATTATTAATTTTAGTAATATTTCTAATTGAAAAGTTTTAACCTTTATTCACAGTTCTATATTTCAACACTGCAATCACCTACTCTGGAATCAACTTACTCACTTTCTGTATAAATATAACTTTTTCGACTAGAAATATCACTAAAATGACATTACTCAAAAATTTGAAATTGGAGTTAGTCATTCTGTCAACTGAAATACACACCTAGATCAGAGACTGAAGTTATGTAATTGAAAAAAGCAGGTGGAATAACTAGATTTTCATTTCCTACCGTCGATATAATAAATAGACGTTTTGCAATTTTAATGGTCTTAATGATTTGTTATCTGTAAGCCTTAAGCTAAAGCTCCGTTAAAAGTGTACTTCAAAAATTTTATGAAAGAACAAAATTGCCAGAAAATAATTTCTATTTATAGTAGTGAGTTGAGTGAAAGTTGTGTGTTGCGCGTTCCAAATATTTACATTACCTTTAGACATTATTAAATGTGTTTTATATGCCTTCTTGAAGGTACATAAAATCTTATGATTTTTATTAATAAATTTTGTTGTAATATGTAATTGAACTTTCTGTAAAGGAGTCATTATACATATATGAGGTAATTAATCATCGTTTTATTCCATATATATATTTATTTTAATAAATACATTTAAAAAAATCAAGCAGCTTCTACTGATTTTTCTATGATTTCATTGATTTTTGACACCTCTCCACTTTTATGTTTTTCAAGATCAGTATTTATATTAAAATCGTTTTTCGAAATTTCTGTTGATTCTGTGTAGATACAGGAACATATACTAAAAAATAAATAAAAATGTTACATCGATTAATCAGCCGATTCAAAAGAAAAATTAGTGCAACTAAAAAGATAAAATAAATTGGAATATGTTTGTTTCTTGTTTGATATTAAATATTCATAACTAATTATTTAAAAAAAAAATACCAATATAATGAAACTTACGTACAATATAATTTTATAATTTTATTTATAAACTAAAGGGGTACACCCTATCCGCCTAACGGCAGACCAACCCTCATTTTACAAATTATACAACTATTCATTTAATTGTAATATTCGTTGCTCAAATTGTATAAATCTAATTTACATGTATTCTGTAGCTCAAATTGTATTATTTTTTACTTGTATAAAATATAAAATAAACTGAATGAAACCACAGTTTGGACAATTTTTTTTTTAATTTCGTTAAAAGTTTATACGTCGCGCCTTATTGCCAATTTATATTTATTATTATTATCACCAATTCGTAACCTTAATATTTATTAAACTTGTATAGATTCATATAAGCCCAACAATAATTTAAGCCTTTTATTTCTAATATTTTCATTATTCGTTATATTGTGCATCGTTTTCTATTTCATAATAATTATAATTATATCACAAAATAATATTACATTTAATACAGTAATTAATATATTTTGGTCAAGATCGAAGATCGGAGATCGAAAAAGAACTGCTGTAACTTAGATAAAACAAACTACCACCTTTAGCTAAATAAATAACATGTATTATTTAAATTTTTAGTTTAAATTATTTATTTTGTATTAGGAGAGCATTAAGTAACAGGAGCTAAACACATATGTAATTAAATAAACAGCTGTGTTATTATTTCTATATTTTTTTTATATCCTGCGCTGCTAATACTAAAATATAATAAAATATGAAATACACTAACAACTTTTTTATATAATAGAGAGATGATAATTACCAAAAGGAGAAAAATACGAGTAATGTAACGATGGCACTAGCCACGAAGAAGGCTCCTGGCAGGGTATGTGAAGTTGCAGAAAATATAATATCGTACATGTAATAAAACAACATTGGAGACAGGCATCCACCAATGAAACGTAAGCTTAAAAATATTCCTGAAAGCAAAAAGAAAAAAAATACATAAAATATGAACAAAATACTAAAAAGCAATTGTTTCATACCATGAATTTTAGAAATAAAATAAATACAATCTTTAGAAATGGGAATAAGATGGAATAGGTGAGATTGTGTTGTATAAAATGATAAGGAAAAGTAATGGAGAAATAAACAAAAAAAAATCAGATGATTCATTATAAGAAAATATAATTCGGCATAACCTTGCCATTTCTCAGATTGAGAATATTACGCAGTCAAACGCTATTATAGAGGTTTTTGTCTAATTTACCTTCTTTTGTTTGATGTTAATTAACCTATGATTTAATGTTAATTTTAAAATAAATATAAATAAATTACTAACCAGCTTCGTCACTCTTCACACACTTAGAAACAATTGACATTGGAACATTTTGGGCAAATAATTTCAAACAGTCTAACACAGCAACTGAAAAACAAATATTATTTTATTAATTAGTTCTAATATTCAACCTTTCTTTATATTAAACTTGTCGACTAGACTATCCTTATAGATTTTCCAGGCTCTTCAAGTAAAACTATGAACCCTTATTAAGCATCTAATGCATCATAAAATTGTTTTGTAAATTATAATTTACAACATATCATTACAACTGGTTAGTCATTGAACATATTTTATCAATTAATATTGTAAATATCTGTCATATAAATTATAACACCGCCTAACACAATTTTTATTTAAATGAGTTAGGACCCTAAATGGATAAGATTCTACATGCCCAATTGAATAGCAATCATGGATAGGTCAAATTTATGTTTTTACGACTTATTTTTAAGTTATTTAAGACTTATTGTTAAGATTTATTTGAGATTATTTTATAAACAGGAATTTCTCAAACTTCAAGACAGACTAGATGATTCTGACTTTATCTACACTGACGGCTTGAAGAGCTCCGCAGGCGTGGGAGCATCAGTTATATGTATCGAACAACAACATATTTTTCTCTTTCACCACTATGTAATAATTATACTGCTAAATTTGTTGCAATACATAAATGCTTAAATATTATACAGTCCACTAAACAAAAAATGGCCATATGCACAGATTATCTATCCGCCCTAATTAGTCTAGAAAATATTTTCTCATCAAATATCATAATACAAAACATTCTGTATTCAATAAAGTCCGTAAATAGAAATAATATAGTAGTATTTTTTGTCTTGATCCCTGGGCATTGCGGAATAGCCGGTAATGTACTGGCTGATCGAGCTGCCAAAAAAGCCATTACTGATGGAATACCTTATCGGGGAGTACCTGTAGATTTTATAACCGCCATCAAACAGAAAATGAAGACGAAATGGGAACAGATATGGTCGAATGTAACCGAAAATAAATTGAGCGAGGTTAACGGTGACGTTTCCTCTTGGGCATCGTCAAATAGGAATAACCGCAGAGAGGATGTAATTCTTGCGCCCTTGAGTATAGGTCATACACGCCTTACTCACGGATTATTCGCCAACATGCAAAACTTATGGGACTCCTCTGACAGTGAAACAAATTTTAACGTAATACAGAGCTTACGAAATATTTAGACTCTCTTGTGTCCTGACAAACGATCTACACTTCATTTTACAGGGTAATACGAATATATTTTTTTTTTCAAACTTAGAGTTTCTGGTCCGATTGTATTAAAGGATTTTTTAATCTTCTTAAACAGTTTTTGCATAATTCCTTCTTATTCGATAAACAATTGAACACCTTAAGAATGACAAAAAGTTGGTCTTAATCGCTTCTCCAATCGGAATAGCACAATGCATCAAATACACTTTTTTGTCTAGAGTCACCCTCCAGAATTTAGCAATTAAGAACTGACACCGTGTACCTATATATTACAGGATTATTTGTTTATTGATAAATATTACAATCTGTCTCAATAAAGGACATTTATAATAGAGTGCTGAGAGGACATTCACACCATATTTACAAATTAAAAAAAAAACAACGCAATTTCAAAATAATATAAAGCAAATCATAGTTAAGGAAGAAAATAAAATAATAGAATAAAAAAAATGAATAAAATAGAATTAAAATTATCTTTAAAAAAAGTAATGAAAATAAACATCTTAGCCGCAGGCATACCTATTTACAGCCTATATATTAGTAAAGTTATAATAATCAGAATATTACTTACATACAATCAAATGTACTATTGTCTTGGCGAATATCATTGCACCGGCCGCAACGAAACATATCAATGCACTCAGAATACCGATCTTAAAGTCAGACCATTTTAATATTTTTGTAAACACTGGTGATAGAATCGCTGAACCTTAAAAATAGAAAAATATAAGCATCTAAATGTATAATTTTATTTTTATACTTTGCAAAGATACTTACCAACTATGCAGACCATTAGACGGAACCCTGTATAAAGTCCAGCTTCTTTTACTGTGAAATCAAATGTCAGCTGCAGGTAGTACAGGTACAAATTGCTTTCGGCTGCAAAATTCAAAAAATGAATTGTGATTAGATAATTAGATTAAAATAATATATATTTTTTACAAATAATGCAGGCATTTATAAACAATAATGCTCATTCCCCATCGGTTACTTATGCAATCCAGCAAGGGAAGGAATGACAGTATATACACAGATTTAGGAATGGCTATTGATAATCGATATTTTAGAAATATAGAGATTTTTTCCGATATTCGATATTTTAGCATCAATAGTATATACTTAAAAATTCTCGACTCGTCATACGTGTTGTATTTTTTTTAATTAATACAGTTGTAAATTTCAATAAATGTATTAAAAATAAATAATTTAATTTTTTTTTATTTCTTAAAGACATTTACAACTGTATTAAATAAATACATCTAGTAAATTAGAACATAATATATATAATGGCATGAAAAACACTTGCTGAGTAACTACCCAATGGTGCACTCTAATGATGTGTTTACATTAGGAGATCACGGGGCCATCTTCTTTTCAGACGCCTCGGAGGGTTATCAGGAATTGAAGAGGAAGCAAGGTTAGAAACGAGAGGGTTGTGATGATTCTGAAGTTTATTATGGAAGGATAGGTATCTGGATTGGGCCAGATCTGAAACAAAAGGAACATTAAGGTCATTATGGATGGTTTTATTTGTAACAAAGTAGAGAGCGTTGAGGATTTTACGAAGGATTTTGGATTGTAAGGATTGGATACGAGAGGAATTCGATGGTTTAGTGGAGCCCCATAGGTCAACTCCGTAAGTCCAAATAGGTCTTATTATAGTCAAGTATATGAGTCTTTTGTAATTAATTGGGAGATTAGAACGTTTGTCTAGTAAGTGCTGAAGTAATCGGAAACGTCGAGAGGTTTCTTGTCGGTTCAGTCTAGTATGAGGATTCCAAGTTAGTCGTTTGTCCAGGTGGAGTCCTAGGTATCGGATTTGCTCAACGGGGATAAGTGGAGTATTGATAAAGGAACCTTTAGGACAGGAAGTTGTTGGTTTACAACGAAGGGTAAAGGTAATTTGGTGGGATTTATTGGAGTTTATTTTAATTCTCCAGTTTTGACACCATTCTTCTATATTTATGATGTGTGATTGAAGCATTTGGGATGCGATTGCTGGGTCATTATTTACTGATAGGATACATGTGTCATCGGCATATGTGGTGATGACAGTGTTGGGATAGGTAGGGATGTCAGCTGTATAAACTGTATAGAGGATAGGGCCTAAGATACTACCTTGAGGAACACCAGCGGACTGGGGAAGAATTTAAAATTAATCTTAATTAATTTCTTTTTATGTTTTCGCAATTTTCCAAATTCAACCAATTAAATAGCGTGGCGCTTGTTAAATAGTTAGTAATATTTAATTGATTTTCATTTTTTTTTCTTCTTTTTTTTATTTTGCGAACGTTACAGTACCCTCTCCACTGATTACCCGGCAAGTTTGTTGCGGAAACAAATTTTCCAAATTAAAGACCGTAATATAATTAAGGTTTTATAAATGCACAACTTCGCTGTGAGTTAATATGACTCACGATTGAGCACATTGATTAATATATATATATTAAACCTAAAGGTATTTCTTTCAAAATAAATAAATTTTAGCAATATTAATATATTATAAGTTACCCAAAGCACAAACGTTGATGACGACACAGCTGATAAGCATAATCCAAACCACTGAGTTATTCTGTCTTGCTTTAGTTATGGCTTTCATTTTCTGCAACATTGTAACTGTTTTGTCCTTCTTCGTTCTATTCTCGGCCTCTTGCGAGATTGCCACTAACACCAGAGTTAGCAAGAAGAGACCTATGACCATGATGAAGAACCACATGTAACCAAGAAGATGAAGACAATATCCAGATAGAGCATTGGATAGGAAAGTACCCACCGAACCTGCAGTGTGATACATCATGAACCTAGAACAACGTTATATGTACATGTCAGTATATAGGTATATATAATTTAGAAATATATTAATATAAGTCAATAAAAAACTCAGAAAAAAATAAATAAATAAATGTTATAATTGGAAAATGTGGCTAAAGCACTCTTACTCAATCTCCACTGAGTTTAGACTTAGTGACGCGGTTGAGAGATAAGTGCAGGGATCTCCTGGAATCATGCTTTTCCCTCCACAGTTGGCTATAACTTGAATGAAACTTGGCTATAATCTTCTCATTGAAGCTTTTTAAATCTATGTACATAGAATACTTTACCGAAAACAAACTGCA